TTATGTGAAGATTGTTTTAAGTTCACTTATATTTAAAGTTAAAAATGATATTTTTCAGAACTTACTAAATGTTAAAAATAATGACTTTCAATTATACTGTAACGTTGAATTGCTATAATTGATGGCTAAAATTAAGGGGAAAATGCGTTTAATAGAGACATCAGTAGCAGTATTGCATTATCAAAAATACTGGCCATTGTTAATAATAGGCTACTTAGTAAAAAGATGCCATTAAACACATATTTAAAATATACCATCTTTATATTGTTTCTACATTAATTTGGAGGTTCAATGTGAAATTATGATAATATAAATATATTAATATGCAGTTAATTACAGAAAACTGTGTGAATAATTCGTTTTTTTTTTTTTTAAATCGATTCACAGACAGCACTAATCTTAACCTTTTATAGATGTTGGTGTTGATAATATTAGTTCATTTTACAGCTGAATATGCATTTAAATTTAATTTCTAATTTTATAGGCCCCTCAGAAAGAAATCGGGACGGGCCCCTCCCCCTTGGCCCCCTTCAAAATTTCAATTCGATAATCCGGCCCTCAAATGAAACTAATTGAATAGCCCTGGTATAGTGTATCTGCTGTTCTGGCTGTGGAGTTGAGTTAGAATACATGAAACTAAAGGAACCAGGAGCCGATCACCATTCAGAGTGCTTACTGAACATTTAAACTGACTAGCACCTCTGGCACTATCTGTAACCATTCCCCTGACCAGCTCATATTTTATTTTCTTATTCTTTCATATCCTTTAAAGCTGTACATCATAATGGATTCAGCAGGATTCAGCCGTGCATCGTAATTTCGAGGAATGTGAATAAACTGAACTTGGAATCATATGTTACTGCTGAAGCAAAGGTTTCTTGCACACAAGCCTAATTTAAGAGGTCGCGGGACTAAAAATAGTTGTAAAGGATACATTGATGCCCTCATTTTAATAAAAGCTTTTCATTCACCTTAATTGGACCCAGATGGCTTGGGCTTCACAGGACTTTCCTCTGGTTGGCGAGTGAGAAATTCCACCCCGGGATAACAGTGTTGTGTTAATGAGTCAGCGCGGACGCCGGGGGCACGGCACACTGGAGCCGAGCTCAAACTGCAGTCATGCATCATCAACAACATAAAGCTCAATGCATTTATTGCGCTGTTCCCTGGAATGCTGCATTATGGTGGTAATGTTCCGGCGGATGACGTAAGACGTAGGCGTTGCGAGATTAGTGACGAATGCGGAGAGAGGACAAAACAAAACACCGTTCACGAATTAGAAGTACAAACCGAACATTTGCAAAGAAAAATGTCGGAGGATTTCGATATTAACCAAGAGGAGACTGGTTTTCCTTTGCTAAAGTAAGGAAACTTCTTCTTCTTCTTCTTCTTCTGTTTTATGGCGGGTAGCTCCAATGTTAAGGTGCATTATCGCCACCTACTGTATAGTAAGGAAACTTTACTTCCTTCGCTCCTATTAAACCAACTCGTGAGACTAGCATATCTCAGAGGCGCGCGCACTGCACATACGTCATACGCCTTCCGCCGGAACGGATCCGCGTATGATAGATAACGGAAGTGAATAAAGGCCTCCTGTAGCGAATCCATGAGTTTTTGTTAGAAAAATATCCATATTTCAAATGTAATAAACACCTTTCTCTCACTTCCACTAGCTGTCATCCACTGAAGCCGTTCCGGCGGATGACGTAAGACGTAGGCGTTGCGAGATTAGTGACGAATGCGGAGAGAGGACAAAACAAAACACCGTTCACGAATTAGAAGTACAAACCGAACATTTGCAAAGAAAAATGTCGGAGGATTTCGATATTAACCAAGAGGAGACTGGTTTTCCTTTGCTAAAGTAAGGAAACTTCTTCTTCTTCTTCTTCTGTTTTATGGCGGGTAGCACCAATGTTAAGGTGCATTATCGCCACCTACTGTATAGTAAGGAAACTTTGCTTCCTTTGCTCCTATTAAACAAACTCGTGAGACTAGCATATCTCAGCGGCGCACGCGATGCGCATACGTCATACGCCTTCCACCGGCATGCCTTCCGCGTATGACAGATAACGGAAGTGAGAGAAAACTGTTTATTACGTTTGAAATATGGATATTTTTTCTTACAAAAACACGTGGATTCACTATGTGTGAAGCATGTTTTATTATGAATGCACGAGCTTTATTTGACGACTTGTGGACTGTTCAAATGCAACACCCGCTGACTGCAATGATAGCGCTTGGAATAGCCAGGACACTTTTTTAATATAACACCGACTGGATTCGTCTGAAAGAAGAAAGTCATATACACCTAGGATGCTTAGAGGGTGAGTAAAACACAAGCTCATTTTAATTTTTGGGTGAACTAACCCTTTTTGAGGTCCAGGGTAACATTTATGTGTGACCTCATTTTTGAGCATGTTTGCTCTACTGGTAAACATCTTCAGTACCTGCGGCTCAGCGATTAAACAGAGGCTGTGAAGCTGTTATTGAAGCAGATATTTTTCTTACAAATACTCATGGATTCGCTACAGGAGGCTTTTATTCATCCACCGGAGCGTCTGCGGCACGTTTTATTATGAGTGCGCGAGCTTTATTTGACGACTTGTGGACTGTTCAACTGCAACACCCGCTGAGAGCCATTAAACAGCTTGAAAGATCAAAGACAATTTTTAATATAACTCCGACTGGATTCGTCTGAAAGAAGAAAGTCATATACACCTTGGATGCTTAGAGGGTGAGTAAAACACAAGCTCATTTTAATTTTTGGGTGAACTAACCCTTTTTGTGGTCCAGGGTAACATTTATGTGTGACCTCATTTTTGAGCATGTTTGCTCTACTGGTAAACATCTTCAGTACCTGCGGCTCAGCGATTAAACAGAGGCTGTGAAGCTGTTATTGAAGCGGATGATGAAATGTCAAAGGTCTGTTTGGAAGTAGCTGCGCTGATGTTCGGGTTCACGTGGAGGTTTGGGCTCTAATGTGGTGAGGTGGCGGTCTTTGAGGTTGTGTCATGGGTCGCAAATTGTTTTTCCAACACACAAACCGTTATGAGAAATGAGAATTGCATGGGTGGATGGTTCTTTTCACATGACTCTGTGATCCCAAGTGTCTTTGGCTCTGCTGTTCTCATGTAGCCTCTTGCACAAGCACTGCTTTTACTGAGTTTACGCGGTTTTTCCAGAATAATTCACTTCTGTATTTACATTCCCATCGATTCCTTTAGCAGATGCTTTCATTCAAGGTGATTATGAATGAGGAATACAGCCACATAGTAATTCATACTATAGAGAATTGCTGGAGAATTGATTAGAAAAGTAAAAAAGTGTTTTATTTGAGTGTTTTATATTGTTTTTCTAATGCAAATTGAAAAACTCTTTGGTGCATGTGGGTCGAGCCAAAAATGTAACTAAAGATGTCTAAAGATAACAGCTGTACAGCATGATAACATATCATTTTTGCTCACTAAATCAATCTGTATTGGTTTCATGTTTTTTTTTTATTAAGAAATGTGTTTACGTTCTTTACATAATAAGCACATTGGATGAGAACTGGCTTTGCTTAGTAGCATATTATTTTCTAGGGCCAGATTCATGGAAATATTCGTAGAAAACAAGTTAAGAAATTTCTTAACTATTTTCTTTACATTTTTTTAAAGAAGAAAATGACAGACTTTGGTTTTTTGTATGGCGCTTGATGTAAAGATGTAAACAGTGTCACATAGCATTACATTTACGTCAGGCAAGTCTTTTAGTGTCCACAGCACATTAGTAATGATGTCTTGATTATTTAATGTATGTTCACAGTCAGCCACTGTGCAAATGATTATTTCAACAATGACATGAAGTAGACACATCATTTTATAATTAGATTTAGAAGTGAATCTATCTAGATAGAAGTCGAGCCAAAAATGTAACTAAAGATGTCTAAAGATAACAGCTGTACAGCATGATAACATGTCATTTTTGCTCACTAAATCAATCTGTATTGGTTTCATGTTTTTTTTTTATTAAGAAATGTTCTTTACATAATAAGCACATTGGATGAGAACTGGCTTTGCTTAGTAGCATATTATTTTCTAGGGCCATATTCATGGAAATATTCGTAGAAAACAAGTTAAGAAATTTCTTAACTATTTTCTTTACATTTTTTTAAAGAAGAAAATGACAGACTTTGGTTTTTTGTATGGCGCTTGATGTAAACAGTGTCACATAGCATTACATTTACGTCAGGCAAGTCTTTTAGTGTCCACAGCACATTAGTAATGATGTCTTGATTATTTAATGTATGTTCACAAGTTATGTCAGCCACTGTGCAAATGATTATTTCAACAATGACATGAAGTAGACACATCATTTTATAATTAGATTTAGAAGTGAATCTATCTAGATAGAAAAACTATCTTTTTTGTGCGTTGATTATTATATCTATTATCTATATCAGCAGTGGCGAACTCCGGTCCTGGAGAGCCGCAGCCCTGTTGAGTTCAGCTCCAACCCTAATTAAAACTCACCTGCCTGTAGCTTTCTAGTAACCCTTCAGACCTTGATTAGCTTGTTCAGGTGTGTTTGATTAGGGTTGACGCAAAACTCTGCAGGGCCGACGTTCGCCACCCCTGATCTATATCTATATTATGTGCAAGTAATAAGGTTCCCTACAGCATTAGATGAGGTAGATTTGTATCCTAAAGAAAATGTAAATTATATATATATATATATAAGGAGAGCAGCCCTTTGGAATAAAGTGAGAGAGATAATCCAGTTAGAGAAGAGTTAAGCAGCTGCCTCTCTGATGCTGCAAGTGCAAGGCAGCAGTTAATTCTTTTTTCTTTTTTTGAGATGCATAAACATGAACTTCCTACTCTCATCCACAAGGTGCTTGACATCTCAAATGATGCTGTTGGCATCCGCTAACAGCATTTTTCAGTACCAGGTTTGCTCTTGTCCTGCTGGGACACTAAATGCTTCTCGACTAGTGTTTTGATGCTGTTGTTGGTCTTCAGTCTCAGGGCTGCTTGTGAAGCCGAGTCGGTGTGTGACGTAGATCTGCTCAGCGCTCAGAAGCCGCCGCCGCCGCCGCCGGCTGCGGGAAACTACCAGCTTCAGTTCGCCATCCAGCAGCTGCAGCAGCAGAAGCTTCGATCCAGACAGCTGCTCGACCAGAGCCGCACGCGTCACCAGGTAACACCGCGACGCAACGAGGGCTTCTTTCTTTTAAGACCACACAGGGCTCAGTAATAACCGCACAGGCTAGTATATGTTTATTTGACTTGTGCATGTTTGAATATTTTCACTGACGGATACCACATGTATACACTGTATTTTCTGGAAAATGAGTTCCACATGATTATACATCACGCTGGGTTAAAATTTGATTGTTGAGAGAAAAAACACAGACAAGCTGCATCGGTGTTCAAGTCACATTTTATTATTACAGTCTGAAATAATGTAAAACGCTATAGTGAAAGTGTTATAATAATACACGTTTATTATAAGCATAATACACGTGTATTTTAGTTCCCATCATGCCACAACAAATCCTTTAAATTTTAAAGTATTCAGAATGGAATAGGAAGGGAAAAAAAATAAGTATAAAACAGTGCTGTCAAACGATTAATCGTGATTAATCGCATCCAAAATAACAGTTTTTGTTTACATAATATATGCATGTGTACTGTGTATATTTATTATGTATGTATAAATACACACACATACAGTATATATATTTAGATTCTTATATTCTATATTCTATATAAATATATTTAAAATATAAACACAACATATTTTTCTGAAATGTATACATGCATGTGTGTGTCTTTATATATACATAATAAATATACACAGTACACTCACATATATTATGTAAACAAAACTTTTATTTTGGTTATAATTAATCGCGATTAATTGTTTGACAGCACTAGTAAGCTAGATATTGTCTTGCATTTTATTTTCATTATGGATAAATACCAGATTCACAAAGCAAGAAACCATAACTCTCAACACAACTGTAAAGTATTTGCTTCAGATTTATGTTTAGTATTATTATTATTACTTCAAAAAGAATTCTCCTCCAATAAAACAAAAGCTTGATAGAGCAATTTGTAACTTTTCTTTTTTCTCTGTATTGCCTATTATTATTTTTATTCTACAATTTTTTTTAATTTAGGTTTTAATATAATAAAATAACACAATATAATATAATAAAATACTGCTGTGGTAAATATACACTACACCAGTGGTTCCCAAACGTTTTGCAGCATGCACCCCTTTCTAGTGTTGGACACGTCAAGCACCCCCACCACCGTACTCCGGTTAAACACCACATTTTTTACTGCAATACAAGTATAATTACAAGTATTCACTGTATACAGGGCTTGACATGAACTCTTTTGCTCACCAGCCACTGTGGCTAGTGGTTTTCCAAAATTACTAGCCACTCAGCATTTTCACTGGCCACAATTTTGTTGCTGGAAAATTACATTTTATATGACTAAAGTTACTGCATATTAAAATGTATTTGAATTGATTTGCAGGTCTTTTGTTTTTTTTGCCTATAAAAAGGGCATTTCTCCCTAACCTTATTAAATGCATGTGTCATCTTTCATATCAAATTCTTACATTTGATTAATAGTTACACTTAATATAATAAGACTCTATAGGGCTGTTACCAATCAAATGAAATCAGTATTAACAAAACCAAATGTTCCACTGCTGGAGAAACAGAAGCAGCTGAAGTGGCATTCAGATGCATTTACGCAGACAATTTAATCAAGCTGAAATGTAGCGTGAATGCATTAACACTGCAAAATTACAA